TTTTAGCAAAGAGTGTAAACGTTGGAGACCATTTCTGCTAATTACCCATAAAACAAGTGAAAAGTGGAATTCTCTTTTCAAGTTTCTCATATAATTCTCTAGATCCTTTCATTGTTCTTTTAGTTTAGTAAAATGTATAGTTATAAATATTTTAAAGAACATTGATTTTCCAAAATTTTGTGCCAAACAAGCTATCAAATTCTATTTCAATTGTTTTTTGTACTCCGAAAGCACGAGTTAGTTTTTGTTTTTTTTTTTTTTAAATCTTACTTTGAGTCATTATATTTTGATTTTATTTATTTTTTGAACGAGGTGTTTATTACTCTGTAGTTTGATTAGTTGCACAAAAGTCGTAAAAATATATGTATTTGCTATACTTATTTATTTTAATTTATAAACGTTTTCTTATCTTTCTTTCATCGGCAAATTGACCTAACATCACTTACATATGTATGGAATATAACTGCAACCTAATAGACGAACCCGCTCTTATATCCCAATTACCAAATTATATAACAAGAAGAAGAAGCAACAGACAGAAATACCTTTATTAACAATAAATGCACTTGGACTGTCAAATTATTACGACATTAAGAAATAAATTAAAGAATTGCATACACAAAGATATTTAAAAAGAAACTGAATAATTATGTTAATCTGTAGATCAATGTGTAAAGAAAGAAGAAAGGAAACTTCTCAATAATGACAGTCAACCAATGCTGGGGTTGTAGAGAAAACATATTCAGTTCCTTTTTGTTTTTTATGTTCGTCTTCTGGGGCCGGAAGATTAAGATCCAAAGACAGAGAATTTCTCGTCGTCATCTTCGATTCCTTGGATTCTTGATTGTAATAATCAAATGAAGCTTGGCTGATAGGAGTACTCAATGACAAGGTTGTGTTTGTGTTAGTTGCAGCTGCTGGACTCAAAGACAAGGTTGTGTTGGCTGCAACAACTGAAAGGCCACCGCTCCTGTGCCTCCGCATGTGCCCTCCGAGTGCCTGCCCGGAGGTGAACTCAGCCCCACAATAAGAGCATTCGTGAACCTTAAAAGAATGAAAAGATGAATTCTTCTTTTTGTTAACAGGTTGAAGAGAAGGAGGAGAAGACATTTTGGTGTCGTTTTTATGTAAAGTGAATGAAAAATCATCTTCAGAATCAGAGAGGAAAAATGCTCTTTTGGCCATGTTTTTAGGTTTCTTATGGCTGGCCCTGTGTCCGCCGAGTGCTTGAAAGGAAGGAAACGTCCGGCTGCAAGTTTTGCATTCATATACAAACATCCCTGCCTTGTTTCCACTAGTTGATGATGTTTCTATATATCTTTTGCTGTTGAATTTATAATCTTGATCGTGATCATGATCAATCTTGTATTTTGGTGGAAAACGATGACCTCGAGCCAAGAGGATTAAGCATTTGGCAGTTTCTTCATCTTCCGAGGTAATGTTTATGCTCTCCCGATCGGGTGACAAGTCTGAGCCGGTATTATTGTGGTGGAGAATGGTGTCACAATGCCCATCTCCGCCGCTTCTTATGATGGAAGGAATGGGGGACTGAGGCCTCTGTCTCTTGGTACGCACGCCCTTGACGATGTGGGTGAGGTCATTACAAGGACCTGCAGCCACGTCCGCCGGAGCCTCCATGTTTTGCCTCCTCCCACCACCACCGCCACAATAGAGTGATGACTTCTATACAGAGGGAGAGATTGAGAGAATGATATTGTAGAGAGGGAGAGAGAGGGGGAGAGAGAGAAAGAGATATACACACAAAAGTGAAAAGAGAGGTGGAGAGCGTGTAACTGATAGAAATATTTATGCTGCTAAACTGAGGTATACCGTAAATCCATGCACACTTCAAATCATCCAAGGAAACCAAAGCCACACGCATCCAAGGTGCGTACTCTTTCCATATCGGTGTTGAGAGACAATCACAAAAATTCTATTAAAAGCAATTAATTGTTAATGATTGAAATAATATGAGATTGGATTTTCCAAGCAAAGCGAATAAGCCGGCGACACCAGGTGCACGATAACAAGTACGACTCGGATAAATGAATTGTAGCTTCTCCAACTTTAGTGTATTCTTTCGTCTCCTAACAAGTTTAAGTTTTTTATTGTACCTTATGCTCGAGGTCAAGCTGAACTTCCTCCTAAAAATGTACTATTTTGTAAGTTAATTATAATAAAGTAAATCTATTATTTAGAAAAAGAAGTAAATATTATTAACTCCATTACGTAATGGTTCTTATTTAAGTTCATTTCTCTTTTTCTTGGTCCATATTCTTTTCGTACGTCAATTCATATATGTTCGTATAACAATGGTGCAAGAGTCATGTGTGATAAAACAAAATAATAAGATAGAAGAAGTTTAATTTTATTATTTATTTTATGCAAAGTTCTAAATGTTGTAAGACATGGTTAGGTAACAAGGTTAAGTGATAGGAGTGATTTTTACATCTATCAAAGTCATCAAAAGTGAATATTTGGGAGTCAATTTGATAAGATTACTAAATTTGGTTAAACATCGATTGTTGTAAGAAAAACTTGAATTTGCATGATTTTTGATGAAAAGATTGAAAATCGGTCAAAGATGGATGAGAAATGAAGTTATAAAGTCCAGTGACTCGGACCAGAATGATGATTGAAGATTATATGAATTAAATTGATACAAACATATTATTATAGACGGAGTCGTAGATATAGAAGATTCCGAGAATATAAATTGTGAAGATCACGAAGTAATTCTTCCACCAACTCTCTCAAGCATTCAGACGTAAATGTCATTAGTCCCAACATATATGACAACTCGTACTAAAAACAAACTTGTAACGAAACGAAGAGCTTAACAATTTATGTTACAATAATTCTACTGTGTCGTGATATGCAATAAATAAATAAAACACCGAAACCATGAATTCCTAGAACACGACATTAATTAATCAGTATTAGCCATCAGAAAATCAAGAAATCCAATGAGTTTATCGCCATCCTGGCTGTGGAGCAGGTGCACCAAATGGAGGAGGAGATTCATCAAAAATTCCGGCATTGGTACAAGAAATATACTCAAGTTTACAGGTGGTTTATGCAAATACTCGCACACACATACATATACACATACATATATACTCGATACCAACTGCATAAAAGGAGGTTTTCAGGTGGTGTACGCTCCTTGGCATGGTTGGTATCATCATCATGAACCGTATTTATAGTTCTTGCCCCTTGTACCAAAGCTGTAAATTTTGTGATCTCAAATTCCACATAACGGGAATGTCGAGGAAGGCACACACAGCAGTCCACCTATCAGGATACACTTGAATGGTCAAACAAACAACTGGATCATAGAGGTTGTAGGTATTGTGAGATTGTGGTGACCATTCTCCCTCGCCAAATCTGTTGGTTCACAACCTCAATACAATTAGTGCATGTTTGGTACGTAGTATTGAACAAAACTAGATAGTATAATGAAAAAGATCTTCCCTTTTTTTCTTTCAAGAATGCAACCAAAACTCGTACAATGATGATGCAAGATAATCAAACAAATTAATTACTTGCGACTGAAACCTTACCTTGCAACATAAAATCCAAAGCCATCCAAATGCCAACAATCCATGACTTCATGATCATTCTTGAACACAATTTCAAGCCATCCTTTATGAACACCCGTTACAACAGAAGTTCCATATGTAGCAGCATTGTTGACAGAACGGACTGGTTTACGTAGCTCAAGTATGTGTGGTAAGCCATTTCTGAAGTGGTCAGCAAGTTTTAATGCCGTATCTGGAGTCAAATAATACACATTGTTGACTACATAGCGAAGTCTGCCATTAATTTCAGCTTTCGATCCATGGAGGATAAAGGTCTGTGTTAAGGTTATGTTCAACACATTGAACGTGACTTGTCGTTTAGGCCATGCAGCTCTGGCAGTCAAGTTCCATCTATTCATCCCCAACAACAAAATGCTGGTAGAATGCTATCTCATTTTATCATTTAGAACACGTCTGAAACAAGTTTTAAAAAAAAATATTAGGCCTGTTTGATTGGACATCTTTTCCAAGTAAAGTGGAAAATAAATTCTATTTTCCCTCTTTTAAGCCTGTTTGATGGGTGATATTTGACCTGGAAAATCGTTTCCCATTTCTAGCTCACGTGACCTATTTTCCCCCTTTTCGTTGAATTAGAATTCCCGTCTCAAACTTGGTAAAATATTTTCCACCAAAACCGTGAAAATCGAACTCCCCCAAAATTAAACCCACAGCAATTTCCCCAAACCTTCTCTCGACACCGGCAGATCAAGTCTGATTCGTCCTCTCAGGCAGCACCGATTGCTGCCGTTTTCCAGTTTAACCCAGGTGACTGCCATTGTCTGCAGTCGTCTCTGATCTGAAACCTTACGTCGCTTCGTCCGCCGTATAAACAGGTAGGCTTCGTAGTTTTTAGGATTATTTTTTTTGGTTTCTAATCAGCAATTTCATCATGGTGTGTGGATCTAGTTGTTATTTTTGGATTTTCGTCCATCTCCCTGTACTTGAACTCCGTCTGAACTTTCTTCAAATAAATGGGTATTTGCTTAGTTATGTGTTGTTTAATGGCGAAATGTCAATCTCTGCTGTCTCTCTTGCATATATTTTTTGTAGTTGAACTTTTGCTCAACTTATTTCTGGGTTAGCTCTTGGATAAACACACTTCACTCTCACTGCTAGATATCTCTGCGGATTTGAACCAGTTTGTTCATGGGTTGAATTCAAGGAATCATGTGTAGCTTTAGAGACGAAGAAGAGGAATCTCAATTTTTGGATGCCTCGGACAGTCGGACCACATTGCACCAGCATTGGAGTTAGGTTCTGATTGTCCAAGCATTAATAATTGGGAATATGATGTGTGGATTGGGAGTCCTCAAAGTGTTAGAGAGCGTGGAAGAAAATTTGTTACATGGATGGGACTGAACCCAGATAGGTTAGGAGGCAATTCAGTAGATGTGTATCATGATGAAGGTGGTGTATTATGTAGCTTCAAATTTTGAATATAGAACAAGGTAAATAAAATTCATATAACTATCTCGGAAAACTCACCGGACGACGATGAAGAATAGACATGAGTGCTGAATGTTCTCTCACAGATCTCTCAATCCGAGCATCACTCTGTGCAGCTTGCTTCAAATTTGCTGCA